CTCGTTTCTCTCGCCATACGTGAGCAAGCAGTAATATATTCGTTGAAATCCAGCACACCTGTTTGATTAATATCAAAGTTTCGAAATGCTGACTCGGCATCCCGCTCTAACGCTTCCCATGTCATGTTCAGCAGAGATGCTACATAGAGCTTACGAAAACCTTCGCGATCAATAACACCGTATGAATTTGAATAAGATAAAAATTCATGTCGCAGTCGCTCAATATCTTGAACAGACCAGCCCGTTAAATTTGCAAGAAATGCATCGTTTTCGTAATATGAAGAAGGATTATTACCAGTGGGTAAAGATAATGGTGGCGGGACACTATAGCGAGGCATGAAAGGTGCACTGGGAAATGCAGGATAATAAGAAGCTTGCGCTTGTGACAAAGGCGATCGATATGGCGCAGATTGCTGTGGCGCCATTGGTTGTTGAACAAATTGTGGCTGCCCCATCGGTTGCTGAACTATTTGTGGCTGCACCATCGGCTGCTGAACTATTTGTGGTTGCTGTTGCACATACTGGGGTTGTTGTTGTACAGCAGGTTGTTGTTGATAAGGTGCATAAACTGCACCTTGTTGTGGGACTGCTTGAACTGTGCCTTGACTCTTTTTGAATGTGTTACCCATGATCGTATTGTCTATGTAAATAATTATTCTTTTCTCAAATCGAAATATGTTCGACACAAGTTAAGTATCCATCTAACAGACTAGATGCAGATTCTTTGGTTGAATCATGGTCGATACAAAAGAAATGACAATGAAATGTTCGAATAATGATAACATATCTGTACTGCATGCAAGGCAAAAATTAGTCAGGTGAGACCATATAAAAATAACCTTGCATTATTTTCTTTCATCTTTCGTTCGTTGGTCTTTGCATTTCTATCAGAAGAAATCGTCGACGATTGATTTCAATCTTCGTGACGAAAAGTGTGTATGACGAAATATATACATATTTCTACCCAATGCGTTCAGACGCATAAAACGTATCAAATCAATCGGTGACAAGGTACTTTTCGTAAGGAAACGTACGTCTTATGAATAGAAACATACGGCAATCATGAACAATTTTTTGCAACTCGAGAAAAGTATGAAATATGTTTTCTAAGAAATATTCGAGTACTCTCAAAACATTCCAGCAATTTCGCTCATTATACATCAGTACAAACAAAAAAGTTTATTGTAAACAACTCATTATAAGACTTCGCACTCGAGTTGTTCGATCTAATTACATGGCATCAGGAAATTTTGAAGGTTTATGTTGTCATCAATAGAACACATGACATAAACTCGTATGAATTATGCAACCAAGTTGAATGAGCTTCCTCTCATTGCGTGAATAGTTCTTGATGACAACTAAAGCAGTCCAAGCAATCCTGAAGGTTCTGAGGTTTGAGCGACAATGTGCAAAGTTTTTCATCTCAAATAAATGAATATCTGATTAAAAAGATCTTTTCATGTGCTACTCGATTCTATCGTTCATCTTCCTCTTCAATCTATCCTTGTAACCGAAGAACGATGAGCTGTACTGTCGTCGTAGAAAAAAGAAAAGAGTTTCAAAATAGATACGAAGGGAAGCATATATGTCAAAAAGGAAAGACAGAATGAGTGCATGAAAAATGATGAAAAGAAAGAAGATTACGCGTGTCTAAGAGCTATCCAATCATCGCATCTCTAAGATTACATCAAGCTCTGTCATTATTATCAAATGGCTGAAATGAAATCAACGGTTGAGAATCGAATTCAGACCGACCCACTTGTCATATCGGACTCGTTTGAAGGATATTCACTAACTTATTTCAAGTAAACACGAATATATTTTCTCATTTTGAAAGTATTGGATATTCTTTTAGTTTACCGTTGCATTATCGCGATGATTTACAATCTGTTCTCATTCCGTATGGGTTTGTTCAAGATCGTATTGAAGCGTTAGCTAATCAAATATTTGCCGATTTGCATATTAATCTTCCAGAACAATTGAGTAATTTAATTATTTACATCTAGAAGCTAATAATTAGCGTTTTGCTTTCTTCCCTCTAGTTTGTCTGTGTGTATTAAAAGGCGGTTATCGTTTTTTTTCAGATTTAGTCTCCAAGATTCAACTAAACAATCGGTATCTCTCTGTAGATCAATATTCGTTTATCATCTCTTGTTTTTTTAGTCTTCATAATCGTCGCAGTCTACCTATGAGTCTGGAATTCATTCGTACACAAAATCAGCCGAATGGTCAACTTGAAATAATTGGTTTAAGCGATTTACATCGTTTGAAAAATCGAAATATTCTGATTATTCAAGACATTATCGATACGAGTAGCCGAGTGGAGATATTGAAACAGAAATTAGAAGACTTTCAACCGAAATCTATGCATGTAGTGTCTTTATTTAAGAAGAGGCAGTCTGATAAAGATTGTATTTTCAAACCAGATTATTGTGGTTTCGAAATACCTGATCATTTCGTTGTTGGCTATGCATTAGTAAGAAGAAAAAAGCTTAATTTGATTTGTAACATTTTAGTTATTTTTTGTAGGATCATAATGAATATTTTCGTGATTTGGAGCATATTTGTATTTTAAAGGAATCAGCCGTATCAAAATATAAAATCATCGATAAACGCTTTGCCGAATGAGCCAATGTCTTCGTTTTACTTTCTAGTAAATGTCAAGTGAATTTAAAATCAATTTTTCGTTCTTGTAAAATGTTTTTCCTCATTGATTAATCATTATGGTGAGTCGCTTGACACGCTTGGTAGCACTCAGGTTATTTTGTGCACGTGGCGTACATTTGTCTAGCTGCAAAAATGAAAGTGGGACGCGAATCTTTGATATGGGTGTTTGTATTGAATTTAATCAAAGTTTCATCATCGAAATTCTTCAATTTAACAATGACGATGCCAACTTTGAATAAATCGATCGTAAGGTTCCTACTGATGAGAGAAAATAACGACGAGATGTGTTTTTAGAATAATCAATCTGTCTATATGGCCTTGAAACTGCCAACTGATGAGGAACTATATATAGGTTTGCCAATATTTCCCTTTCGTGAAAGATTCTATTATGATTATTGCATCTTTAGTTGATTTTCATCCAATAATTAATATTCAACGGGTGAAATTCATAAGCACATATCTCTGTTCGAAACCTTACCGTACCGAGCCGAATTTCTGGTTTATACTTTCAGAATGATTGATAAATAGAATATTTATAAATCTATAAACTAGGCTGGATACACGAGCTTGTGAATCTGTAGATCAATCGGTGCTAATCTACGAATGGTATGATAGTGTTCCTGCCGTACAATGGCCGAAAGGTTATTTTTTGTTTGAATATCTGATTGTCATTCTGTGAAGTCGATTTAGACGCTGGTCTTCGCGTTGGAATCAATACTCCATATCGATATGTTGTTGTCAATGTTCACTATCGATCAAGTGATTCGAATGATATTTACACTGAGCGAATCACTTTTACACATCAAAAGTATGGAAGTGTGAAGTAAACATTTTTTTTGAGTGTTTGATTTATTGTTAGACCAAAGTACGAGATAGAAATGTATGATATTATGACAAATGCATTGAATATTCAAAGTATATGCAAACTTGGTAACAAATTATCTTTATGATAATGGTGTTTTAGAGCATCGAGTTGATTTTTCTTGTCAATACGATTCATCTGAGATGAAAATATTTTCCACGTTATTTTCCTCGAATTTTCAAGGTATATTTATTCAACTCTATGCTCAGTAACAATTACTGACTAAAACGCTAATTTAGGTGGTGCTATTTCATTGTATCGCATACGAAATAATCAAGTACAATCGATTATAAAAGGTATTTCACAGAAAGAAATGACATTCGATGGTGATGCATTCTAATGATATAGGAAATCTTGCTTGGCCACAAACATTCTATCAGTTATCAAATGTGACAGATATCAAAGGGGAGGATTACTTGATTGGTTTGTGTGCGTTTGAAAAACCAATACAAGATCAAATGGTGAAGTATGTATTTGAAAGAAAATTTTACCATGTATGATTTCTTCGATGTGTCAGGTCTCGTAATTTCATCTGCCAACTTACATTGATGTTTTATATCGAACAAGAGGAGAAATTAACGATCGAAGGATGTGAAAATAACGATTTTTCAAGCATTAGTCAACGGTAGAATCACTTCGATACATTTTCTACTTCTTATCAACGATATTTTTAGTTTTCTCCCAGTAAATGCTCTCGATACCCCACAAACACTATTCGACATCAATCCAATATATCCTAAACTACCACCTAACGAATGGATGCAAAGCCAGCTGAACAAACCACTATCATCACCACAATCCACTGACAATGATACGCAAACTATCTACCTAATCTATACGAATCAACATCGTTACGACCAATTGATCATTTTCATGCAAGATCATCCGTTAATATCTATACTTATCCTCTGGTTAATCTTGTTGGTGATTGGATTGGTAATATTAGTATATGTTATCCGTCGAGCACGTCGAATTATCGTATACTCATCGTCGCACATTGCTCGTCCAACATCGGTTACTGTTGGTGGTGATACAAGTTCTCTGAGTGGATGGTTAACTAAACGGCGATTTCAACAGTATGGAGATGATGATAGTACTGCCAACGTACCATTAACGAGTAAACATCGATGGGCGTCCGATACAGAAGGAAGTGATTTATCTGATACAGAAGTTTTCAATACTAAGAAGATTACCCAAAAAGGTTAAGTTTCACACTTGAAATCAATCAAAGAACATTTCTATGAGTTCGTTTTCAATAAATAAATCATTTAAATCAGATCACAAATAAATATCTATAAGAGAAACATTCGTACGAATTCATCCATCAATCAATCGATTGAGGTTCTCATTCATCAATACGCAATGAAAGGCGACCTCTACTCATTTAAGTTGCCAGGTGATTCTATTTAAATCATCTGAATGTATGGTGCTTCGCATTTAACAAAATTTCCTTTTATAAAGAACAAGTACAATGACTTATCGAGATATTAGCCGTATGTGAAATGAACTTTTTTTCCATATGTATTACACTTTTGTTGTCTTGCGAACGCTTAGATCTATGTGAAATGACGCGCGTTCTTTCATACCCACGTTTGATCTCAATGGAAAATTTTCGTCAACCGAATTTTCGTCTCGTGGCTGAATTAATGGCTTGGCTAGTTAAACAGTATGACAATTCATCTTTCTCTCTCGCCTCATTAATCTTTAATTATTTCTAATATAGATACGACCCATTGAGTGAAGTTCCAACTGAGATTGAACGTGAACAAGATCGTGTTCTATTTATTCGTACTGTTGCCCAGATAATTGTAAGAATGTCATGACTTACACACGGAAGTAGCTCTTTTCTTCTTATTTGATTCTAGGCTACTAAAGCACATGTTAAATTAAACACAAAAAAGCTTTATCAAGCAGATGGCTATGCGGTCAAAGAGATTC